TGAAAAGTTGGTCTTGGTGTGGTAAAGTGTGTTATGCAAATCAAGGCCTTCTCAAGAAGAATGAAGTTCACAGAAATTAGGAAATAGATGCGCGTGAGATATGCTGTTTAAGTTTCTTTAGTTTTCTTTGTTATAGGCTAAATGTCTGGACGGTCATTTGCATTCAGGGAGTTTACATTGACAAGAACAGGGATGCTGACGTGAGGACAGGAGCTGTTTCACTTCCTTGCACAAGAAAATTTTGTTAAGAACAAAAGTTCCTGCGTGTGGACAGCTGTTTCTAACTATACTGATGGCATTTTAGTGTATCTTTTTTATTTTTAAATCCCATCATGTAGGTTTATGACAACATGTTCACACCTGGTATTAACATCCATTTCAAATCCACCATTGCACGTGACACCACCTCGTGGTTATTGTTGTTTGCTTTTTTTATACAAGCAACAGAACAGAGAGAGAGAAAAAAATTGGTTGAAAAGGGCATCAAAAGCCAGAAACTGCCCTGATATCATGAGATGTGATGTCAAAGGCAGAAATGTACTTGCTTTTATGCCCTCCAAAAATAATCGTGCATTGGTCAAATATATACAATAATGTAATATTAACAATATATATAAGGCATTCAAAAACGCATGTGACTACACTGCATTTGTAGATAGTATCTGTTCTGATACATCCAATACATCATTAAAAGACATCCTACTCACCTGTCAATCAACAACTGAGCTAAAATATGAGAGACACTACCCTTGAAATCTTAATACCAAGTATAAGAAACCTAAATGATAGAGTGAAGTTCTCCAACCCTCCACCACTGGATGGCAGTGTGCATCCATGACTATGTCTATTCACTTACCTTGACTAATTTTGCCTTTTTGCCACTGTGGGTGACCTGTGTTTTTTACACATCTGCATGAACCCCCTCGTCCACCTTTTAAAAGGGTCATCAGCCACATTTTCCCATTTTGAGGCCTGTGATTATTAGTGCAACAGGACTGTGCTTAAATCAGCTTCTTCAGGAAATATATATTAAATATGTTTCTCGAGCTCTCTCTTGCCGAAGGTTACAACATGGTGAGGCAAGTTCGCCAGGGCTTATTTTTGATTGACAGCTTCCTAACAAGGACAGCCTAAAGCGACGGAGTTGCGCCCTGAAGCCCCTCTCCTCTCCCATGATGCACCAGAGGGCACAGGGCTGTGTGTGATGTGTTTGTCTTTATCCTGTTCCACCTGCACACACACACACACACACACAGTCAGAGGGGTATAAATGTGACATTACAAATATGAACTTTCACTGTTTCTCATCCGGGTGGATATGATGATAAAGAGCCATTAAAACACCTTCCTCTGTTCTCTGACTGGCTACATGCCATGATATAGATAAAAACTACTACAGACCTGTCAAAGTGCCATTATGTATACAGACCTGCTTACACAGATCTGACATTGTGTATTTACTGGTTCCCAAGGGAATGAGAATCTCATCAACACTGAACATCGAGCCTTGTGTATCTCTAAAATTAGTTGAATTTTCTAAGGAGGTAGCCATGGCACAGTTTTGAGGGCCAAGAAATGTCCAATCAGCTGAAGAGTTCCTCGGTACAACATTAACACAGCTGTAGCATATGGTGACAGTATCACAAGCACCACCACAAATGAACATAGTTGACCAGTTGGACATGGAAACCAAGAGTACCTCATTGTCGACATACCTTGGAAATCCATTCAAACAAGAGCTAGAGGTGGTCATTAAAATTCCAGATCAAAGGATACGTTCATGTCAATGCCATCATTTCCAACACAACAACAGACCTCATTCATGTGTGGTGCTAATCAAGATGCGCCAATGCAACAAAGCACTCAAACATCAACTTCTAGTTCTTCTAGGACCAAAGAAATGGGGAAAAGAGCAATTGAATGTGAAAAAGAATGAGGCAAAGAATATACCACAAGGGATACCAAACATCTTGAATGCACTTTGATGTATACATCTATTTTTAAATATATACATACTATTGCGCTCTCCTGGGCTGCACTATAATATTCCTGAAAAAAAACAGCAAACAGCAGGTATGCTAGCAGACTCTCCAGAGGTATTCATCTTCTATATCTTCTGACAAGGCAGCTCTACTCATTCAGTTCTTCCCCATTTCTCGCTCTAGTAAAGGTGGAATGTGTCAGTCAAAAGCAAGCGTACAGTGCAACACGCACATTATTCTTACGTTATCTATAGCAAGTAATTCATACACCTTCCACTGATCATTAGAAATATCACGTGTCAGATTAGTCAAGAACCTTGGAACATTCATCAGCTAATCAGAATCAAGATGAAAAGACTTGATGGCAACATTTACAAGTTCTATACACATGCTTATGTTAAAATGTTTGTTAGCTTACTAATCAGTAGAGTAAGATATTATTGCTAACAAAATAAGCGAGGTACTGGGAGAACATTCCCTGGCTGCCCGAGGGATTTGGTAATAGAATTCTCCTGACTGGATGACATAGAGATGAAACAGGGACACCGACCTAATGAGCTGCAGCTAAAGACTAGAATAAACTAATGCGTTTGTTCTTTGTCATGGCTAAAGCTAACATACATTAGCTTATGATATCACCTTGACTAGTATGTGAAACTAAGACACAGGAATTCTTTGTACTTGGAAAGTAAACTACATTGAATTTAACTTTCATATCTCATAATAAAAACACCTTATAATCTAATAGAGTTTTTATTGTCTGGCCTTGAGTATTTTCCCAATTAGATACACTAGGAAACAAGTTCACATATTAAAACTCCCATTTAACGACACCATTACAATAAGGACAAAAATAAGAAGCAGGGCCTACATCTGAAACTTGGAATGGCAAAGCATTCCCCCAAGAAATATCTTTTTTTGGAAAGATACATTGGCTGCACCCCAGAGATTTGGCTCTCATAAGCTAGCCACACACAGTATGCAGCCTTTGTTCCACTGAAAGCATTTGTCTTCAGTGCAGCGCAAAGAAGAGGGGTTAAAATCCAATTCAATCGATACCACTGGAGACGTACAGATACAAACAGAGGCTAAGGACCCCTCCCCTTCTCCAGCTGAAAGTTAAAATAGAATAAAATGTTGAAATGCCTTTGAAGTTTCAATACCAAACCCTGAGCAAGTCAATACTCACCGTATTGTTACAGATACCAAGAAATTTCTACAGAAATCCACAGAAAAACAATGACAGTCCTACCTACATATTCACATTGAGATGTTAAATGTTGTCTACTTGTACAAGGTAATGTATTTCTGAACAATAAATGGTGTTTTAAACATTTGCAGGGACCTATTAGAGACTTAATGTAAAATGATGTAAAATTAGATGACTGTCCCACCACTAGGACCAACACCCAACATTCACCCTCCATTCTCTTACCTTACCACCTTCCCTCCAGGTTAACCCTGTGTGTCCCAGCTAATGAGGAGTTTCCGTGGCCTGCTGAGCTCCCGGGATGGGATGGAGCTTACCCCCGGTGTGGGACTGTGGGAGCGGGACAGTAGAGCACCGGTGTCAGCCTCCGCTTCGCTGCACATACATCATGCCGGTCATTAGCGGAGGATCAGGCTGGACCTTTGGCCAGCGCGCCACTGGCGGCAGGGAGGGGATGGCCATAAAAACCCCAGGCTCTGTCACTCATTGTCACTTACAGCGAGAATTTATCAGGGCCTCTGCCTGCGCACCGATGAATAATGAATGAGGTTCTGGAGCTTTGCCTTGACGCTCGGGTGCTAATGGGGCTGGAAAGCTGCGGCAGGACCATCCTTTGTGCCGGGAGGTTGCACTGTCGGGGTACGGACTGGCCTCTATTGGTAGGCGAGCCTGGCCATAATATCACAGTCACAGTGAGGTCTGCCCCTTCTTCTCTTGATGTCCATGCCTGTAGCACCTTCTAGACCTTGGGTAGTCTATTCTGTAACACCAAAGGTGTAAGGAAGTTTAACACCAGTGCCTATTTAAGCAGTATTAGAGCCCTCGGTTTCGGAAGTGTCAGAATTCTTGTACAAGTAGTGCGTGTTGACATTCCCTTGTTTTATTGGGCATGAGACTGGATGAATGTTGTTATTTTGACATAAAGCTGCTTAGGGTGGCCTAAGAGGAGTTAAAACTTACCCTTGAATATAAATATGGAAGCACTTTTGCCTTCAAGATCTGTATTCAGGGAAGAGTAGTTTATCCCTCACTGGGCGCTTTAGGATAGACTCATAAAGACTAGCATATTGCATCAGTTGTGAGTATCCTCTAATAAAAGAAAGCATTTTTAGTTTTAGGGCAAAGACTTGATTCATATCCAAAGAGCAATGATAAAAAAGCTCAGTTTATTTTACTCGTTAATTCCGAACAAACTCGAGACGAGATGAACACATCTGACAGCTTGGGACCTTTGTATATCTGAAGAAGCAGATAAAGAGATATGAAGACACTTCAGAATCTATAAATGATATCCCTGTGCTATACTATCGACCTTGTTTTGCATGTAAACAGTGTGAAATGTAGGAAATACTGTCGCAATCAAACGTGTGGAGTTGTGCACCAAAACTTCTTGTGAGAAAAGTTTGCTTTCTGGACCGAAAAGGACTGCTCAGTTTACACACTTTTGATACTGTAACTAACCATAAAACTCTACACTCCTGATGAAATGAAGAGTTCAAATTCAGTCTTAAAGTCTTGGAGCGAAAGAGTTTTTGATTTATTCAGAGAAAGATTTTGGGGCGAAAAAAAAAGAAACAATAAACAAGCGAACATTCTGAGCTTCTGCCAAGTCTCAGAGAACTTTCAGCTAATTACGAGCAAAGCCCCACACCACAGAGAACTTGCATCCGTCGCTGTCTGAGGATGACAAAAGGCTTAGAGGGGGCAAGAAACAAACAAGCCCCAGAATAAGAAAAAGGCTTTCCAGCTAGCTGCATGGGCGACAGAAGCATCTAATCAGTTTTTTTTTTTTTCAGTGCTGCCTTCAGCGTCGCATCCAAGGCGCAGTTCCTCTGATCAGCGAGCGAAGGGGCTCTCCCACTGCGCCAGTCTCCTGTCCTCTGAACCACGGGTCAGTCCTTGGTGAGTAGCCTTGCTCCTCCATCTCCATCTATGGTGGTGCATCCCATCTTCATTACCATGCAGAGACACATGCCGGGGGTAACTGCACCCCAGGACTGCCTGGAGGGGCTGCGCTCTATCCAGCCTCCATCGGGAACTCCTGCGCTGCTGGGTGACGGCGAAATGGGAGCGCAGGATGGAAACGCAGTGCATTAAGTGACTCCGTGCCTCAGGGTCAGAGAGGAGGCGACGTGGCATCTCTGCCGAGCGATCGTAAACAAGCAGAGGATGTTAGATCTCTTCATCCTATTCAAATGCTTTATTATGCTGATTTTTGAGCAAACTGTAAACTAATCAGGGCAACTTTTGACCCGTTCTCGCATGCACACAGGGGGAATTGTCGGAAAGGTTAGGCGCTGAGAGTCAATTCTGGTGCCTCGCCTCAAACTTTGCACTCTCTGGATCATTTCAAACAAACATAGGGAGAGTCTGAGGCTCTGTTGCGGTGGAAGAGATTTCATGCGGCATACTTAATTGGAAGGGGGTTGGTGGACCATTGCGAGGAATATTCACATTCAGTATGCACATTGGAACCAAAGTTGTAAATAGTTAATTATGACTCTGTATGCAAATGTTGGCCTTTAAATGAATTCAAGGAATAATTTCCATGTTCATGTATTTGCATAAATGCATATTACACACTCAACACCTCAAAATGTCATAAAGAGTGATACAAATTTTAGTTGAAATCCAATGTATTAACTTGCTATACCTCATACAGTTCACAGAATGGATCCTGAGCACACGCAAAAAGAACACAAAAGTATCCTGTTTATACACTACTACAGGTTTCAGTATTTTTTACATATTAACATATGCATTATACATTTACAATTATATGTAGCCTACTGTACATTAGAATTAAGTAAAAAAAAAAAGGTCAAGGGTGATTAAACTGCCCTTACATCATAATGAAAATGACTCAATTTTAGTTTAAAGTAGTTTGCAGTTACTTTAGTATCTTTGTAAAGTCCTAAAATACAAATATTTTAACAAAATTGCCTCATTGCTTATTTTAAAAACATGTCTGTCAAATCAAACTCATGTGGTGCAACGAACATGCAGGATAACATATCTACATTAACAAAAATAAAACATAAAATAGAAATAGACATCTAAAAGAAAACAGGCAATGATCTTCAGGAAATTACACATCATTATAATTATACATAGTAATTTCCAATTTTCTTCATAGTATTAAAGTTTCGAAACAAACTTTAGAAATCGACATGAATAGATCTTGGCATGTTTTAAACCAGATTTTTAAACATTTTTTTTTTCCTTTCTTCACTTTGGACACTCTTATTTTTCAAAACAGAATGCCCCCTTAAAATTGTTAACAAATAAAGTGATCCCAGAAGCAACTACAATCACAACAATCAACCGATGCAAAGAAATAGACTTTTCAATGTCATTTTACCCAACACAAACAGTGATCCTTCGCAAATTCTTCACTGATCACCAATTGCATTGAAGATCCAACACATTATTGTTATTCTTATTCCTGGTGGGCTGGTCTTAAGACAAAGCCTGAGCTCTGGCTGACAAGAACAGGTAGAGAGGAGGCGGGGGAGGGAAGGCGGGCAGCTAGGACAACTGTGTTAATTGGACTTTACAGTAACAGTGTGACAGGTGTTGTTTGGGGGGAAAAAAAAAACAAAACACTCGCCGAGAGTTGGGAAAAGAACACACCGAGCCGTTTGTCAGGAAAAGGCAGCTCCATCCTCCCCGCAACCTTTTCCCTTGCTGTTTTCCCTCAAAATTAATGCTGTCTGCTTGTTTATCACTGACAAAACTTCAGGCCAGCATCCTCACACTTTTTTTGGCCCTGCCACAAGGAGGTGGGGCTAAGCCTCATTTTTAAGCACTCCCTCTGATAGAAGCCCACGTCAAGAGTAGTCCAACATGATGCCCCCCACCCTCATGCCTAGATATGCCGCATTTGTCATTTAGAAGAGAAAAACGAGGTGTTTTTACAGATGCGGCAGGTCATGCCACTTTGTTGTTTCGTTGCTGTCAGAGCAAACTACTTTTAAAACACAGGATGTCTTCTCTTGCGTTAAAAGCTGTCAACAAATAGAGCCGACAACAGCTCGTTCCCAGCATTCTCCCCAGGCAAAGGAATTGGTCCAAAACAGATGTTTCACCTCTAAATATATATAGTCTGTTGCAGTTGCTTGTGATGGAGTACATACAAAGTAATTTTGTCTGTCGGTACAAACTTCAGCTATCTCCAGCTGTGTTGCCATCAACTCCAAACCACTTTGAACGTGATTTCAAAGCTGTATTCTTCTCAACGAAGGACTCACAAGGTCATCAGCCAATGAAAAGCATCTCGGCGGCGACTCTGCCGACAATTTCAGCCTTCCCTGCATCGCAGCCTGTCTTTCTTCTCGTAATGATTGGAGACCAGCGGTACAGCCTCCGATGGCAGACAGTACAGAGGAAAGCGTGGGAACGTACAGGCAGACGCAGGCTTTTGCTTCGGCGTGCAGCGAGGCCACAGGTTTATGCAGGAATGCCTGTGGTCGCATGCTCACCGCGTAAATCAAGGCCCCAAAACAGAGCATTTCATTCACTGAGGTTGGGGAGGCAAAGCTATGAGGACGCCTGCATCTGGTAGCGTTTTTGATTTACTAGGGACCTGCACAACATTACAGCACTGGAAAACGGTGGGAGCCCGAGTCCAAAGGGCTCTAATGCGTAGGCGAAGGCAGTCTAAAGGATTCGGTCGTAGTGGTTGGCATCCAGGAGTGCTTTGCCATTTCAGAGGATATGAGACCATGAGTAAATGCGCTGGATTAAATGAGTTTTTCTGTATGAATCTGCAATAAAAAAACTAAAAAACAAGCTTTCCAATGGGAGCAGAACTCGTGTCAGAGTAATAGCACTTGAAACGAGAATATCACATTATCACATCTGACATGTTTATGACATGGCAACACACAAACAATAAACTTACTTCTTTGCAGTACAAGCTGTAAAAATTAAAAGGAAACAAGTTCTGCATAATAATTCTACATAACATCATGCTACAAGCTCATTTTTTAATGAAGATTGAACTTCTCCAGACAAGACTGTACTTAATTCAGAAATCAACCTAAATGCAAATAAATGCAAATGATTAAGTCCTTAAAGAAAGAAAACAAAGTGATGAAAAATGCAAACAAAACTGATTATTTATGGAGAACTTACCTTGACACATGGAAATCAATCATTTTTCTAAGATTTAGGAGAACTTTGTTTAATTTGCACTTTTTTCCTAAAATGAGATACGTTACATTTACATTTTTACATTGATTCATTTGGAAGGTGCTTTTATCCATTATATTATACGTTATAGTCAGTAAAAGAGTAAAATTAACAAAAATGAACAAATAACACTAAATTTAGTGCATTTTTAAATCAAAAGACAAAAACTATGCCTAAAACAAAAAGATGTATAAAAATTAACAAATTTATTTTAAATTTTCATTTGAGTACAATCTGACAAAATAACAAGCATGCCTTCAGTAATTCAAAAAAGTACTATAAACCGAATGAAATGACAGATACAATCCTAATAACCAAACAAATATGATCAGTTAATGCATTGCAGACTTAATTTGCATAAAAAGAAAAAAAAATCTAATAGCAATGCTTCACCATTACCATTTACATACAGCTTACACAATGAACCGTCTATCTCTCGTTAATTATTTTTTTTCAGAATGATTTCAATTACTTTACACTCCAGATTGTAGTCCAAAAGAAAATAATGGCAAACATTCTCTCTTTTCATGCTTACTCAAGCAAGTCTATTTACTTTTTTTTTTTTCATTCGCAGCTTGATGGAGGGAGGCAACAGGATGGGATGTGACATTTTGGTTGGAAAGGCTTCAGAATTCAAAGCAGCTGTGGGTAAAAACCACCTGGAAAGACATTCTCTGGATCAGATTTCTTTTGAAACCTCAACCTAGCATTTGTTTCCAATTGTTAGTTTGCGAAAACCCCCAAAAGGTGCTAGAGATGCTTCCTTGGTCGGGCAAAATGGGCTAAATATACCAGGAGATGCTGTTCAAATGTTTATGGGTCTTGCTCAGAGGGTAGCCTTTTTTAACTTTGCTAAGGTTTACCACAGATGACCATGTATTTCCCCATGCTTCCTCTGGGAAGGAAAAAAAATGCTTAATACATAGAGTACATGGACAATAACACTGTGCATATGTTTGTGTAGTATGCCTACAAATGTCAGTTTGTAGATTACTGTCATGTAAGTAAATGGAAGTTTTAATGGTTGTTTTAACATGATTTTTAACAGAAAAAAATTTCTTATGCGATTAAATGTTATTACAAATAATACAATTTTAACATAGTCATGCATAATGACTTCAAAAAGGTAAAAGGGTTTAGAGTAACAGGGTTGACATTTTAAAGACTTTACAAGTCTTGTGGTAAAACTACAACGTCCTTCGAAAAGTGTATTTGTAGAAATATCGTTTTAAAAAAAGAAAATATATTTATATATATATATAATATTTTTTGTTGATGCGTGTAGAAAATGTCTATTGTAACAAAATAAAAGCTGGAATCAGATACTCATTGTTAAAGTCATTTTTTTTTCACTCGTATATGAGGGAAAAGCGTTTTGTAGAATGACCCAATAAAGAAGAAACGGAAAGTAAAAACAGAATCATTAACAATACATAAGGCACAGTTTACTCGCTGTTGTTCTTCTTTCCTTAGAAACCACAGTTCTAAGTTAACAATACATAAGGCAGAGTTTACTCGCTGTTGTTCTTTTTTCCTTAGAAACCGCAGTTCTAAGATATTGCCAGATACAGCATTTTGGAGAAAACTTTTCAAATAAAAAAAAGAGCAACGGTTTGAATGGTGAATGTTTGGAGATCATCCCTTGATAATTCTATTCCCCTCACAAACTAATTGGTTTAAAGTTGCCAAGCATGCGCCACAAGCTATTTCAAACCTGCGTGCTATTGATATTTCATGTTTCAAAGCACGAATCCTTTCAATAAAGAGAAAAAAATGCCTGAGATGCGCTAGCTATTTTCCTCTATGCGTGTCCACAGGGGGAAACGAACAGTGAGGAACCCGGATTCTGTTTTCTTGTTTTTT